TATTAAAAATTAATATAGCCCATCCCAATAGTAACCCAAGTTTTAACTTCTTCCGGGATCAACTCAAAAGTCTAAAGTTCAGAGACTCATCAAAATAATATATGACAGAGACTCATAGGTGTGATTCATTCCGAGTCAAATTGGCTTCTACCTGTGAGCATGTGAAATCAAACAAGTTATGTGTTTCCAGTATACAATGATGGGGCAGGTACAGACATTTCCTTTCCAAAAGCAAAAAGTAGGGAAGGAAAAAGAGATAACAGGTCCCAGTGAAATCTCAAACCCAACAAGGCAAATATTAAATCTTCAGGTTCCAGAAAAATCATTTTCTTGTTTGCCCATTGTCAGGGCCAGAGGGCAGCCCAAGGGGTACTTTCATAGGTGAGTTCCCCAGGGTACAGAAAGCACACGGAGCTGACATCAGCAACAAAAGCCACAAGAGCAGGATATCTTTATTCTTTTACCCTTACATAGAGTACTACACAGCTTTACATCATCATGTTCTTATATAACCACATAACACATGGGCAGTAGTCTATGCTAAGTCATGCGTACATAACTGTCCTGTTGTGTGCATGTGCTAGACAGCAGGGTCGTGTCCTTACAGGGTCATGTCCTTACAGGGTCCTCAGGTGCCGCCGGGCTTTGAATCAGTCAGCAGTGGTTCCCCATACCCATGCTCTGTACACACTGGCTTCTCTGGGTGCAGCTATTCCTACTTCTTGAGGTTTGGAATCACTGCAATGGGCCGAGATCATCTTAGAACAGAAAAAGAGATCACAAGAAAGCCAGCCCAGATCGCTAAGGAAGGCCCACATGTGAAGTATGTGCTCAGCATTTGGCAGCAAGAAGGGAGACACAGATGAGTCAGGGCTACAGAAGCTAAGGCTCATCAGTGAACAGCTTTCTGTATGTACCTGCAGTGCCTGGACCATTGCTGGCATCTCTCTACCTTTCACACCTGTCCCTTCTAAACGTATAGGCACAACTGTGCCTCAAATACTTTTTTGTACAGATACATTTCATACCATATGGTTCAGAAAAATAAAAGTTCCTAGAATGATTAAAGTGTGGCCCTCTTCAAATTCGTGTGCTGGAATCTTAATTCCTCAAGGCATCTGCATTTGGTAGTAGGACCTTGTGTGAGACAAGTTCTTATATTAAACATGTGCACACACACTTATACACTGTTCTGTTCTTCATGTATTAACATCAAAAGATACTATTTTAACTTCTTTTCTCAATGTGTATTTGAATAAAATTTGAATGAATGTTCTACTGAATGTTTACTGATCATCTGTAACTTTTATGTAGATTGACTGATAATGTCCTTTGCCTATTTCTCATTTGAGGGATATTCCACCAGCACATAAGGAGTACTCAGTGTGGATCTCAGGAGACTGTCTTGGAGGCAGAAGATTGGAAGCTACAGAAGCCTTTATGCTATAAGTGTAAATGGATCCTAGAAAATTTAAATTATCATCCTAGCCGGGGATTTAGCTCAGTGGTTTCGCCACCTGCCTCGCAAGCACAAGGACCCAAGTTCGATCCCCAGTACAAAAAAAATAAAATAAAATAAATTATCATCTTAGAGTTCAGAGCTAACTAATGAATGCCAGTATTTTTTAAAAAACATTAATTTAAAAATTATTAAAATTGTATATGTATTTATTAAATGTAATGAGCTAGGTGTGGTGCTGCATGGCTGTAATTCCGGCATTTTGGGAGGCTGAGGCAGGAGGATCACAAGTTCCAGTGCAGTCTGGGCAGTTTAGTGACTTATTGAGATGCTGTCTCAAAATGAAAAATAAAATCAGGCTGGGGATATAGATCAGTGCTAAGGCCTAGGAATCAATCCCTAACACTGACAAAAAAGTAGTAAAATTTATTTGTATTGACAAAATAATTAGGTAGAACAAAGAAAATTCTTGTGTTAAACAAGCTAAAAATTATAGGATTAAAAATTAAAATAGGCAGGCTGAGAAGGCCAGCTCCATGTTTCAGGTGTTGTAATAGGGAAAAGGTATGAAAAGCTGCTAAATTCATCACTCATGCACTTCAAGTCAATTGACTGAAATATTCTACAGAGTCTGGCTACTTAATCTCCTCCAGGAAGGGGCAGCACAGCATAATACACCTGATAATACACAGATTAGTCTTCACCTATGAAGACAAAATGATATGAAAATAAGGCTTTTGTTAAGAAAAAGGGACATAAACAGAGGTAGAGCTCAACCGGAAAGGTTTATTTCAGCACAAGCCTGAGAGAGACCGCACTGGCACTACTGGAGATTAGACCAGCAACTCTCTACAGGCTATGGGGTCATTGTAGGGTCATGGGGAGGAAGGAGTTCAGTGAGAGGGGGTTGTGGCTCCCTGCCAAGAATAAAGCTTGTAAGGGCACAGTAGTAATGGTTGCCCAAGAAGAAGGCTTGGGAAAGCACAGGGAGCAGTGGCTGTGATCAGTAGCAGGGCTGATAGGGTTAAGAGTCCCCAGGTGCATTTGTGCTGGGAGGTGGTGGTTTGGAGGGGTCTCTGGTCAGGATGGCAGTGATTGGATTCCTTCAGTCTTAATTACAAAATTCTGTGACCTGAGTAATAGCAGATTTGTAGACACAAGAAACAAAATTTCCTTTAAGTTGGCTCAGTTAGAAAAAGAAGCACACGACCTCAGAAGTAAATGTGGATAGGAAGTCTTGAAGAGAATCTCATGGCAGTTTAAGGAAACACTATTCTAAGTGCTTCTGTACCATTTATGCTAAAACAATAAATGGGTAACAAACTATTGTTTCATGTATTGAAAGCCACCTGTTTAAGCCTAAAAACTTCTTGAGTGGTTGTTGGAGATCAAAAGGGAGGTTCATAGTCATATCACCCACATCCCAGGTGGTTGTAGTGCTGAAGATTCAGCATCATTATTATGAATATGGCAATGACTGTTGATAAGTCATAAATATATACAGGATACGATAACTGTTTTGAAGCCCAAACTGCTAATGAGTATTAAAATCATACGGGAATGGTGGTGGTTTGTGCCTGAGGTCTCAACTACTTGGGAGGCTGAGATAGGAAGATCACTTGAGCCCAGAAATTTGAAGCCAGTATAGGGAACAAAGTGAAACTCCACCTCCTCTCCCGCCAAAAATATCAAAGAGCATGTAGAAAATGAGTATCAGACAGTAATTGGTGAAAGTTATCAAAGAATGTGAGATATCACATTCAAGCACTTTTGCAAGCACCTTACAATTACCTGAACCAAAATCAATTGGAATAAGATACTCTCCTACAAGATTGGCAAGGAAATACAGAATGTTTAAAGGCTGACTGCAGTATTCTTTGCTATGTGGAAAGAAAATGATTCAGTATATGGATATAGCAATAAATAAGTGATTTATAAACAAGAGTAATGTTTGGCTGAGGCTTTCAAAATTATGAGCTTTTCTAACCTCATAGAAAATAGCACTGTCTTGATTCTTTTGTGTTTTCTGCTTTGTAATTTTGTTATTTTTATATCTATTTTAAAAACATATTTTAAAAAATTCTGCTACATTTAATGTTGGAGAGAATGATCCATTATGGAGTCATTTTGCTGTTCCCAAAATTTTCCTACCTACACACGGTTATTATGCTCAGCGCTTTTATACCCTTATCCTTTGAAGTACTTCTGATACATTGGTGGTTTTTACTAATTCATCAACTTTTAAACTGGTGCAATCTATAGCTAAATGGAAGGCACATCCATGCTTCTACTTCCTGTTGCATTGATCATTGTATACAGCATCTCATAATTATAATTTTGAAAAGTTGGATGGCAAGTTTTTCAAGTAATTTATTTAGGGGAGTCTAAAGCAGTTTTCTGAAAATTTCACCATGGCCACCTCTTTGGGGAAGCTGTTTTTATTGTGTGTGTGTGTGTGTGTGTGTGTGTGTGTGTTTTAATCTGTTTTGTGTGTATATGTGTGTTGGGGATGAAAGCCAGGGTCTCCCACATGCTATGTAAGCCCTCTACCACTGAGCTGCACTAGTCCAGGAAGTTGTTTTTAAATCCAAGCTTGAACTGCATTCCCTGCGAATAACCATTTTTATTTTTTCCTTTCCCTCACTGGTTTCTTCCCATCTAAAATAACACCGCTGTAGCCATAGACAGCTGTATTTTTAGATGAGTTTTGGCTTTTTTTTTTTTTTGGTACCAGGGATCGAACTTGGGACCTTGCACTTGCGAAGCAGGTGGTGGAAGCACTGAGCTAAATCCCCAGCCCAGAGTTTTGCTTATTATTTAATATTCAAAAACTGCTAACATGCTGTAGAAGTAATAGAGTATAAAACTTGATAAAAGCAGATGTTGACATAACAATAGGGAACTCGTACTGTAACAATGTAGCATGATTACACAGTAAGCAAATTAATCAAATAACTATGTAAATCACAAAACCCCTTACTATAGAATATCAAAGGATTTAACTTTAATTTTCCTTACATTAATTGCTCCTGTTCCATTATTCTTTGAATAGACTGCTCTGTATTACGTGTACTAATAATAAGACTTTCTTATTAATGCTGCAAGGAAACGCATCTGCGGCCAGGGAGCTAATAGTTTTCATACTCAGAGGCCAAGAAAGAAGCAGGAAAATGTGGAACCTAACTCAAGTGGAGTCCAGAGCCAAATGTAAGCCAGGTAATGTTCAAGGGCTGTGGTCTGGGGGCCTGGGGGGAGTACTGCAGCAGGGCTCATTAACTTGCAGAACACCAACGCCCCAGCTCTCCACCCTCAGCAGGCTCCTCTACTAGTCCACTATCCTCTCCCTCAGTCCTCCAAAGAAACCTCGGCCCTGCCCTCGGATTCCTCCAATTCTAGCCTTTCTTGGATGCTTTAGGTGACAACTACTGCACCTTACCAGTTTGCCCAGTAACGCGCCTGCGCAATAGAGACCACCAAGACTTCCCCAGCCAGTCTCCGCGCAGGCGCCAGACCTGTGGCCATGGCTCCGCCCACACTCGGCCCCCAGCCTGTGCCCACCTCCACAAATACTCACTTCCGGGGACAGCTTGGTGCTGACCTCTACGCAGCCCAGCGAAGCCAGGAAGCGCAGGGGACCCAACTAGCCAGACACTATGGACGGTCGCGTGCAGCTGATGAAGGTATTCATGGCTTGGCCTCGGCCCAACCGGCGCCGCTGGAGAAACCCGATTCCTTTTCCTGAGACGTTTGACGGGGACACCGACAAGCTCCCAGAGTTCATCGTGCAGACCGGCTCCTACATGTTCGTGGACGACAAGACGTTCTCCAGCGACGCCCTGAAGGTGACGTTCCTCATCACCCGCCTCACGGGCCCGGCTCTGCAGTGGGTGATGCCCTACATCGAAAAGGACAGCCCCCTCCTCAGCGACTACCGGGGCTTCCTGGCCGAGATGAAGCGGGTCTTCGGATGGGAGGAGGACGAGGACTTCTAGGCCGCGAGACCCTCGGGCCTGAGGCTGGTGCTCGGGGAGGGTCGGCTGTGCCAGTCTGTGCGGGCGCCCTACCCCCTACGCCCCACCGCCCTGCCCGCCTGGCCCCTCCAGTGGCCCCTCTCCCTGTGCTCTCGCGCTCGCGTCCCCTCCCGCTCCCCCGTGGTGCTGCCTTTGTTCCAGGAATAGCGCTCCAGCTCCAGCTGAGGCCACCACTAACCCTGGACCTGGCTCTGGATCCTGGAGCGCCCAGCAGCCCTCTGCTGCCAACCGGCCCCTCCCACGCCCTCTGGACGCTGTCCTCTGCTCCAGCCTCAGGCGGGGCCTGTTACACAGAGCTGGACAGGCCACCCACACCCGGCCTGGCCCTGCCAACCGCCTGACTGCACCCCTCTGCCCACACCCTATGCTGCCCTGCCATCACCCTCCACCGCACCCACCCACGCACAGCTGCCCTTGCCATCTGGACTCAGCTCTGAGGTGCCTGAGCTGACCACAGCCCGTTGACACGGATTCAGAGGGCTGGTCGTCCCTCTGCAGGGCCACTCCAGCCTCACTTCAGCGGGTCCCATTCCCTCCCCTCTCTGAGACCTCTTTGTGTTCCTGGCAGCCAGATTCAGTCATTCCTTTTCTCCTGAGGGCCAGTTAGTTTCCCCAGTGTGCTGTTCTCTTCTGAACTTGTAGCTCTCTCTGAGGTGTGTGCCTTTGTTTCAACACACTAACCCCTGTGATCTTTCCAGCTCTTCTACACTACCTGTACAAAAGTCTTTTCCTTACTTTCAATAAATATTAGAAATTATTTAAAATGAAAATCGACTCTTAATTAAAGTGTCACCTCTTTCCTCCTTGAACCTGAAATGGGATCCATTTCCTATTTCTATTCAGTGGCTGATGTTGACTCTTGAATTATATGACCGGAGACTGAGTCCTGTAGTGGTCCAGGGGTGGTCTTATTGCCACCCATCCCATTCCACATGATGAGTTTTCTAACCTAGTCACTTTGTCCCTTAGGAAATGGACTTTAATCTGCTGTGTGTCAAGGCAAGGTAAGGAGAAGTCAGAAAGCTGCTTTTGGGGAAAGGTTCCCTTATTTCTGGAAAAGTGCAGCACCTGATTGTTGCAAAGCTAGAATCCCATACATTTGGGGAACCCTTATCAAAGATTCAACCCATTACTAAACCAGCAGAATAAGTGTAAGTGCTTCAGTAAAAGAATTCACACTTTATTACTTGGCTTGGTTATGTAGTGGAAAAAAAACCCCACCAAACTGTGTTTGTAATTTAGGTATACACCTGGTTGATAACCTTCAGAATAATAAAAATTATGACTTTCTTTAGTGGGCATAAAATTAATCATCACTCATCATTATGTAGGTTAACCTCTAAATGTATATTTCTGTAAAAAGTCTTTGCTCCCTCATCAGTTTTTGGTCAAATTAAATATCCCAATATGGTCAGATGACTTGCTGTTTGGCTTATAGGAAAATGCCCTGTGTGATGTTGAATGTGTGTATGTGTGTTTGTATATGCTCGTGTGTGTGTGTGTGTGTGTGTGTGTGTGTGTGTGTAATTAGCTATAAACAATTGGCTGTCATGTTTACTGTTATGGTCTAAATATGAACTATTCTCCCAAGAACTCATTGAAGGAGTGATCCCCAATGCAGCAGTGTTCAGAGATGGAGCCTAGAGAGGTGATTCGATCTTTAGGGTGCTAACCTCATCAATGGATTAAACCATTGATGAATTCAGAGCTGAGTGGGCTGTTAGGAGTCGGGGCCTAATTGGAGGAAGTAGGTCATGGGGCATTGCCTTACAGGGTGAGTTGAGTCCCTAGTCCCCAGATTTCTCTGGCTCTCTGCTTCTTGCTTGCCATAAAGTGAGCACCTCTTTTCTGCCATGGCCTTCCACCATATTTCTCCCTTGCCATGGGCAGAAAAGCAGTGGAGCCAATCAATTATGGACTGATGCCTCTGAAATTATGAGCCAAAATAAATCTTTTCTCCCTTAGTTGATTTCCTCAGATATTTTGTCAGCAATGGAAAGCTAATATAGTGGGAATGAGAAATACTAAGATCTGCGTACAGCAAGCTGGAGACCCAGGTGAGCCAATGTTTTGTTCCACAACTTTGATTCCAAAGTTGTGTTAATCAAATGAGTCAGTAGTATGAATTATAGTCTGAGGGCCAGCAGGCTGCAACTGAAAAACTGATGTTTCCGTTCAAGTCTAAAAGCAGGAAAAGGCCAATGCTATAGCCCAAGGCAGGCAGGCAGCAGAAAATGGCTTTTAAAAAAAAAAATTATCATAAGTGATAATATGGTGAACTCCCTAGTCCTTGTTAAGGGGGCACTAGCTATTTTGCTTTGTCAGGTCTTCCAGTGATTAAATGGGGTTCCTCAGCATTGGGGAGGGCAATCTGCTTTATTTAGTGTATTGATTTAGATGTTAATCTCATCCAAAAGCATTCTCACAGATACACTCAGGGTGATACTTTATCTTCATTGTCACTTTGGACCCAGAGACATGTAGCAAGTTAATAAAGCAGCTGCTGGATGTGTTGCTGGGGGTATTTCCAGATTTGTTTGGCATATAAGTCAGCATACTGAAAGGGAAAGACCCGGCCTGATTACTCATTAATCTGTATAAAAAATGGGTAACTTCAGTATTTCAGCTGTTATGAATAAAGCTCCTATAAAAATTATGAATTTTTTTGTTTGGGCATATGTTTTCATACCTAGTACAAATACCCAGGAATAGGATTTATGGATCATAGGAGTGGTATACATGTAACTTTATAAGAAACTTTATAAGAAGTGGTTCTACAATTATATATTCCCACCAAAAATATATGAATTTCCCAGTTCCTCCATATCATCAACAAAAGATAGTATCATTACTTTAATATATGTATTTTTATCATCTTTAATTTTAGATATTCTGGCATATGTAATCTCATTGTAATTTTAAATTTTATTTATTTGATGAACAGTAATATTAAGTTTATTTTTCTTGCTATTATCTATTCATGTATCTTTTATGAAGAATCTGTTCACATTATCCACTTTTTAACTATGCCATTGTTTTCTCTTTTTCACTGAGTTATAGTGGTTTTTTATATATTCTGGATTTAAATGCTTTTTCATATATCTGGATGTCAAATATTTTCTCTATTGGGTACCTTACTTTTCAACTTTCTGACAGTTATCTTTTGAAGAGTAATAGATTTTCATTATATAAATATTGTCCAATTTATAATTCTTGTCTTTTATGATTTGAAGTTTTTCAAAAGCCAGATGCTAAGAAGGAATGAGACATTCAAGGGCTTTATTGGGGGAAATATCTGTGGAGGATAAAGGAAAGGAAGAAAAGGAAAAGATAAAGGGAGACATGACTATGACACAGGCCTGGCCCCTCTGAAAGGATAGAAGGAAGGAAGTGCCTCAGCCTGCAGTTCGAGTTTGAGAAAAAGCTCATCCAGGCTGCTAGGGAATCCAGAGATGATCACCTATCATTGGAGTTGTATCGCACAGAAATGTCCTGGCTCCTGTCCTGCTTTGCTCATTCATTGGCCAGTGGCAGCTGAGGAGAGTATGAGCTCAGTATCCATAGTGCATTGGGTTCCAAGGTGGAGCAGCTGGAAGGTTGGTGCTCACTAACACCCTTATAGGAGGTAGCCTTGGAGAGCAATCCAAGCAATACACTTCCACAGCTGCCTCAGTTCACCTCTTGTACAGTACTGACCTATTTCTCCATGCAGGTTAGAAAACTTCTACTTCATGTATCCTATGGCCTCTTTTCCTGAGAGAAAACTTAGAAAGTGTAGTTTAGTGTAACAAACTACAGTCCCCACCACTGTAATGGGTCTCTAATCCACAATTATTTCATCCTCTCCCTCCTCCACTACCCATTCTAACATCTTGATATTTTCAGATATCACTGTGATGGTTAATTTTACATGTGAACTTGGCTGGGTTAAAGGATATCCTGATAGCTTGTAAAACATTTCTGGGTGTCTGTGTGGGCATATCTCTTCCAGAAGAGACTGGTATTTGAACCAGTGGACTAAGGATGATCTACCCAAACTCAGTGTGGTGGGCACCATCCAATCAACTCAGGGCCCAGGTAGAACAAAAATGCAGAGTACAGGCAAATTCACTCATTTTGTCACTTTTGGACACCCATCTTGGACAGTGCCCCTTGGACATCAGAATTCCAGATTTGCCTTCAGACTTGGACTGAGCCACATGGCTGGCTTCCCTCCTTCTCCTTTTAGATGAAGTTAAAATTGAGCAAAGGAACACCAGGAGTTGTCCTTGTTTTTGCACTAGTTGTATAAAAGTAGCTTGACCTCTTCCAGCTGATTAAGGTCTACTACCCCTACTAGTAGTTGAACCTTTTTGCCTCTTACTCCAGGGAAAGAAGAAGTCCAAATTTCTCGGGTTACAAGTGTAGTGTAGAATTTAAAGGAATACTTACTGTGTCTTCCGGCAAAACTGTACCTCCTTCAAAAAACAAGACCTTTTACTTTGCAGAGCCCTAAGTTGCTGGGATGAGGAATACAATTTACTCCAGTATGTCATTCAGAGTGATAATAAATACAGCTACTCCTGCATCTACTTCCTAGTTTTTATACATATATTTTTCCTGTTGGCAACACAGCACTATACAGAAACTATAAGGTAATTAGGAGTGAGCCTTAAAAATAAAAACACCTTGCAAATTACATTACTATTATTGCATAGAGTTCTCTGATGTCATGTATGTATGGCATCCTGAAGAAAGACATCTGGTCCTTCCAATATATCTTTATCTGAGATCACACTTTTCTATGTGTTTAAAAGATTATTCCAGTATTCTATAATTACAGCTGTTCTCTATATGCTGTGGTAAGTGGTATGACCACTGGAACTTACAATTTTAAGAGCATTCCCTTTTGTGAAGTGGGTGCCCAGGTTGGATGCTATGCTATGGACATCTGTGACTGTGGATTCTGTCATATATAAAATAGTGCTGCTGACTGAGACTATGAGAGTAAGAAAAGCAAACCCATTCTGAGGATAGATACTTATACTGACAGGGAAAATTGGTAGGCCTTTCAACATTGGAAGGTACCCAATATAGTCAATTTGCCACCAGCTCTCTGTTGATGTACATAAAATATGATTCATTTATGGTTTAGCGTAGGTCTCCATTGTGGGCAGATTATAAATTTAAAGGAAATATTAATTATATTGGCATTGGTAAATGGGACTCCACAATGTTGGGTGCAACTCTAGCTTTGTCTTTGCCATCATATCAACTCCTTTCATGTATCTTCATGACATTTCTGAAGTGACTAATGGTGAATGCTAACTAATGTTTATTGGCTGATTCATTTCATCTACTCAGAGTTTCTTCCATGGTCCATGCTATCTAGTGAATATTAACATTAAAAAACCTTTACTATCTGTGCTAACTCCCATATGTCCATCTATGTGCGATTCTTCCAAAATCTTTGTTTGTTTTGTTTTTGGTACCAGGGATCGAACTCAGGACCTTGTGCTTGTGAGGCAGGCGCTGGAACCACTGAGCTAAATCCCCGACCCCTTCCAAAATCTTTGTAACCTTCCAATTTTTTTCCTTCCAGGCCAGAGAGCCAAGTCATTGGTTAATGACCATATGTCTAGACATATTCTCATCTCCTGCCACTTCTACACAAAGTGGATGGCCAGGTGCACTGCCCATCGGAAAGATTTTTGCTGTTCCTCTATCAAGACCACCCCTGATTATAGTTATAATGACATATATTTCTGGCTTATATCCTCATACTGAGCCA